TTAACATCCACATCACAAGCTAGTCTTGCTCATAGAACATAAACCATGCAAAAAAAATATATATATATAAATAATTAGAACAAAATATAGGACACATCCAACTTCGCAACCTAGCTTTTTGTCATTTAAAATTGTGAAGCGATTATTAATGTCACATTCCATTCAAAGAAAAAAATTAAAATTTCTAATCTAACTAATTAAGTAAAAAAAATGAAAACAATTAAAAACGATTTTAAAGAGTTTCTGTGCCTTCTTTTAATTTTATCGAAATGGATTTATTAATTTCAATCCAAAGTTGCACGCATCTGACTGCGTGTCAACGGAACGAAATTATGAATATCAATTCCCCTCGCAAGAAGTTCAGCCTCGGCGTGCTGTGGTACGAGTTGGGAAATGAGATCATTTCTGATAGATAGTTCTACAATAAATGTAATGAATTCCTCGTTAATAAATAAGAATAAATTTATTTAATAAGTTCTTTCGAAAATTTTATTCCAACCTTGCTCTGTGAAATCAAAAAGTTTTGGTAGCTCTTTTCCGTTAGGAAGTCTTGTTTCTGGATTTCGAAGTTCATCAAAGAATGGATGACACATTGCCTCAACCGCTGTCAATCGATTGGGTGGAGTATATTCTAAAAGGCGAGATATAAGATCAATCGCTTCAGGCGGTGTTCTTGCCCGGAAAACCTGTAAAATGTTTCGCAAAAATAGTTTACGTCATGCAATTTGTCTTAATTAAGTCCTAAAATAATAAAAAAATACAGAAAAAATAACCTTTGAAAATGGATGAGGTTTGATTTGAGGGAATTTGTGTTCCATATAGTTTGGATTCATGGTTTTGATCTGTTCTCTTGTTGGTGTACCTAAAACTTTGATAATTTCTACCAATTGGTCAATACCACTTTCACCAGGGAATAAGGGCTGTCCAAGCATTAATTCAGCCATAACACAACCCGTCGACCAAACATCTATATTAATTCAAACAATGATAAAAAATAAATAAAAAAATGAATAAAATAATTTATCAAAATAATAATACTATTAATATTGATAATAATAATAATAATAATCATAATAATAATAATAATAATATTATTATTATTATTATTATTATTATTATTATTTTTATTATTTTTAATATTATTAATATTAATATTAATATTATTAATAATAAGATTATTATTATTCTTATTATTATTATCATATATATATAAACGATACTTTACCGATATTAGTTGTGTAATTTGTTGCGCCAAAGATCAACTCCGGTGCCCTATAGTATCTTGAACAAATATATGAAACATTTGGTTCTCCTTCGACAAGGATTTTTGCACTACCGAAGTCACATAATTTTAATACTCCTGTGGTCGGATTCAGTAATAAATTTTGTGGTTTAATATCACGGTGGCAGATACCGAGCGAATGGATATAGGCAAGCGACCGGAAAAGTTGATACATGTATAATTTTATA